ACTCAGGGTCCCTTTTGGACCTTTGTCGAACGTTAAAACGCTCACCTCGTGTGACGGGTCAGATCTCTGCTGGAATCCCTCACGGCCTTTGTAGAAAATAGTCATAGATAGAGTTCACAGTCTTAGATACGTACTGCGTACGCTTTCTCACAGACATGTGTCAAAACATAGAAGCCGTGTCTTACATGACTAATTTTGAAAAGGACTTTAATTAATTATATATATGCACCAAAACAAATCAAAATGAAGACTGTCAAACTCGTATAATTTTGATTCAGATAAACAAACAGATAGAGCATGGTAGGTCACCTCATCCGAAGTTCAACTAAACCGTTGGGACAGGTAAAAAAAGAAGAGGTGCTGAGACCAGAGAAAAACAACACTTTAACCGAAGATCAACTCAATCGAGATCAACAAAAATGGAGTCAACTGTACAACGGTTTCAATGTGTCTCCAGGTGTCTGCTTCTACAAGGGCGAGGTACGACCCCTTGACGTCAACTGGTACGACGGCTGTGACTATGTCTGCAGCTGTTTCGACGCCGCGAGGAACAGAATTATCTGCACAGAGAAGTGAGTGCTCCACTCTAATTATAGTCTATTCTATGGGGCATAGGGATCCTGCCTCATTGTTGCTGTTACGTTACTGCAATTGTATTTGTTATGTCCACATGGAAAAGATATTAGATTATTATTAAAACTCCACGTTTAAAAGTTACGGCACTCAATAAAAACAGAGGCTTAGACGGAGAGAAATTGAAAGGTAATTTTCAAAATCAGATTTTTTGAATTGATTGTATCAATGGCCAATAGCAGCTTGATTGGCGAGTTTTAACAACGAGTCTTTAGCGAAAACACAGTGGACAAAATGACCTGAAAAAAAGTATTTCAAATTGCACATTATGAATTTTGCCTTTAGTAAGACAAGCAGGATACACCTACAAAATAACGGTCATTAAGTGCAAGGTAGTATTATTATTATTATTATAGTTGTAGACAGACAGAAGTAGGGCCTAATAAATTGTGTCCTCCAACTATCTGCAACACATTCAAGGGACCGACAATTGTTCAACCAAAAGGAGGTAGAGATAGCTTGCTCTTTAAGTCAAACCTCGTTGTACCGCCACCCTTGAGACGAGCAAAAGTTTAGCGGAACAGCGGGGCTGGCAGTTCAATGGGGTTCCTCTCAGTGGCGGTGGGTGGACCAAAATTTGGGTGGGGCTTAAGTTGCTTCCTCTTCTTTACAACCAAATAGCGAGCAATAAGAACTGAACAATGATGATTTGTCATACTCACTGTGAGCCACGGCATTTTTAGAACCACTGAAACGAGAAGAGTCACGTTGTCTTCCATCTCTTTGTTCTATGTTAAATTCTTCTGAATGGTGGGGACCAAGCTGTTTCACCTCCAAATTTCATCTAGATCTACTTAATTTTCACTTAAGTTGTAAGAAACTTTCATTCACTTTGGGATAGACAATAGAGGTGGGGGTGGGGGTTAGGGAGCTCAAGCCCGTGAGCCCTTCACTGCCCACCACCACTGGTTCTTCTGTTCTATAGTATAGCCTCGACTGCCCTCCTCTCTCTCTCTGATCTCTCACTCTCTCTCTGATCTCTCTCTCTCTCTCTCTCTCTCTCTCTCTCTCTCTCTCTCTCTCTCTCTCTCATCTCTGTCTTTCCCGTGGGAGAAGAATTATCATTATCAAGTAGCCAACCAGTGGGTGTCGTGCGCGTGTGCAGTGTGAGTGTGTACCTCTGGCGGTCAGTTCGCAGGTGGTATGGCAGGGCAAATTTGTATATTATATACTAGTTAAATGTAAATGACGGCCGCACAACTGAGACCGTGGATGGTGGATGGCAGTGTGAAGGAGTAAATATTATGATTAAATAGACACTTCTTTTCGTACACTGGTAAAATCTGGCGGTAAGCGGGGCTTGTGATATATAATTATTATAATGGTATAACAAGAGGGGAGGGGCGGGGGGTACCCAAAGTTTAATGGTCTATTAGGAACTGAATGTGCCTTTATTTTCTTTTTTTTCAGGTGCACACAGTGGGGTTCACTGCCGGCCGAGCTTGCAGGGCAGTGTTCGTTGGTCAAAGAGTCTGGCGACTGCTGTCAGAAACTCGAGTGTAACGCCTGAGGCAATCGCAGCGAGATAGGAATTTCTGTTTGTGAAAGATTGAGTGTTCTCATTGCCACTGCTTGATACATTATCTATGATATAATTCATACAATAAACTCAGCCTTCAGCAGTGAAATCTTGCCTGTTTGTGTTCTTTTTGTCCGTTTGTTGTTGTTGTTGTTGTTGTTGTTGTTTGTTCTTTTTTGTCGTTTTTTTTGGTGTGCATCGACACTACTAATGGTTCAAGGAAGACTGTCGTCTGTGGTGTAACATTTGGTGTGGAATTGGACAATCTGTGTTATGGTTGAAGGCTACTGGTTTGGACATTGGAAGCGCCTCTTTACCACGATGTAGTCAATTTGGTTGTGATGTTCCCCGTTTGGGCTGTGCCGGGTCCCTCTCCTTGATGCTTCGAGTTTGTGTGGGCCAAATATCTAAGCAAGGTTCAGATCATGAAGGCTTGCATATTTCAGTAGTCTAAAGCCTCCCTCGTGGGTCTCGGAGTTGGAGTAGAGATCGCAATGAAGAGCCTTTGTTGTGCACGACAAAAGAAGCAGTGACAGTGTCATTTTTGTGTTGCTGAAATTGTTTTCAACAACATTCTGAATATCTTCAAAATAAGTGCAATATTCTTCAATTTCATATCTGTTTGAACAAATATTACGAACCCAAGTGCTTTTGAGTTGTTTGTTTTCCTCTCCAACTTCCTTTTTCCCCTCTGCAAAACACAAAAAGATCCACTGTTAAAATTGTATGTAAACAGTGAAGATTAAAGCAAAAATGAACTATGTTATTTTCCACTGGAGGTGTACCAAACAGTGATTGTCACGACAGTTCTTACAAAGCAAAGGTCCACAACTGTAAGTTGTCCGTCTCTCGGGAAGTCGGTGGTTGAAATGGAACACTGGTTTTTACATTGGAAATCCATAAACATTCCGCTTGGATGTGTCCACCAAAACGACACGACACCTCCCGACAAAACACGGGTCATCTGGATGGAAAGCCGGATGCAGCTTATTCTTTATTTTAAGTTGGGCCATTGTGGTGACTCATCAGCGTTAGATCCAGTCAGAGCTAAAAAGTATTTTAAAAAATCCTAATGTTCAATTCGAGGGAAAATTTTAATGTATTCATTATCTGAGGCTGAGTCTGCGTGCAGCAAGCCACTTGTTTTTGCTTTGGTGTGTTTTACGCGCTTGCAACTGCATAAGGTCATGAGTCATATGAGTGTACGGGACAAACATTTTCAGTTTGGTAGGAATTTATTTTGAATTTTCCCCTGGTGGCGGCCGAAGCCTACTCTTATCGATTTTAGACCACCAACGGATCTTTAACGTGTGCAACTTGCACACGGGGCCTCTGAGGATCCCCCCCCCCCTTATCCGAGAGAGCTAGGTGTTAGATCTTACCTACCATAAGATCAGGGGTGTGGCTGAAAGACAGCAGTACGAATGAGCCATGGAGTAGCAGTAGAAAGGCTGCTATGGTATCCATACGACGTGGTGAACTCTGCGCCACCACTTTCCAAAGAGGAAATTTACTCGTTCATCTGATCCGTACGCTTTGCATAGCAGTTTGACAAAATGATTTTTTGAGAAATACTGAAAGTTTCAAAGAGATCTTCGTACTAGAAGTATTCTAAAATGTGAAGAATACAACCCCGGAGGTACAAAATGACCTGGGGGCGTACGGATAGGGTTAAATGCATATTAGTTGGACACACGAACACTTAAAACTCAAAATCACGGATAGCTGAGAGCTCGTACAATTTGCCATTCCACGACTGACATCTCTTATTAATTGTTCACGATACGGCTAACTCGAATTATGAATGTGTCGAATACATTTGTCAACCCCTGACGTGTTTTTGAGTCATCCGTGCCGGGCTGTAATAATGTTACTTATTAAAACAATGTCTTTTCCCCAATTTTCCCCTTGCGTTCATTGACCTGACCTCTTGACTATCTATAACGCGTTAACGGTTAATGAGAAATGTCAGTGTCGTCAGAGCTACTCACACGTTGGTGGGGGTGTTTGGTAGGTCCCATTTCTTTCCTTTCCTTCTGTCTGTCGTACTTTTCCCCAACACTAAATGACAATTATGTGTAGATGTGCTTCTTTTTACTCAACGTCGGTTGACACGCACGCTGAAGGTCTGAAGAACTGACCACTCGAGTCAAAAAATCGTCATTTCTGCTTTTTGATGGACACGCGGCCTCAACTGTCAAGACGTTAGGTATAAACCGCTATAAAACAAAAAGATCAATAAAGTCTATCACACGCACAGCTTAGTCTAACCTGTGGCTTTACGCTCTTTATTGTTCCACACAAAAGACGTGGGATCGACTCACGTGTGGGGAGGCCTTTTTCTGTCTCCACCTGCCTCCTGGGACATTGTAATTTGTTTTCCTCTCAGTCCGGGTCGACCTTGGCATGTAGGGTCGAAGCAGCCCGCCTTCTTAATGACTTCAATTGTGTTGGAAGAGGCATAAAACATTTACAGTTTCTTTCTAGTTCTAGTCAAAGAATAAAAGAACGTCAAGAGGGAGCAAGATAACTGCATGCGCGTTGCTATTGTGTCCCAGAGGCTATTAGAACAAACATACATCATCTCAATCTGTCTTGAGCGATTGCCATGCGCAGGGAAACAAAAACGAATAGCAACAAGTTGCATGTACAGCTCCAGATTCTGCTGGATCAGGGGCTAAGCTACAGGGCGATCCAAAAAAAACTTTACAACTTTTTGATAAATATTTCATTCCAAACTGAAGCTTTACGTTTAAAATTTGTACACAACATTTGGTAGCCAAAAGGAATTTGTCTGATATTCATTTTAGATAACTCCATAGAATAGTTTTGCTTTACAGAGCGCTTAAAAAAAACTACAACCCATTTTCAGCTATGTCCCCATTTTCGTGTCATGACGTACTAGTTTGCATTAGGCATTCCACTAAAAGTCCCTACGATTGCGCCTTATTGCAAGCTACAATAATAGTCGAACAAGCAGATATAGTTTTTCTCAAGTTTCCTTCGCCAGCTGAGAACACGGTATTGAACATTACCTTGCCCCTACCTCATTTCGTAAGTTTCGCACAAGGTACGGAAATAATGATAAAGTGCCCTTAAGGCCTTCTAAAATGTCAGGGTGAAGATGTTCCATCAGTTAGGACATGTAGAGAATCAGAACTAAAAATTCCCAGACAAATGGACCACTTCAGGTTGAAAACACACCATTCGCACCCCTTTAAACGTCACCAGGGTGCAGATGTCAGTAGATTTGTCCCACGAGACGTCCGTCTCTAGACAATGCCTGTAGCTAGGACTTTCCTAAATCTCAACGGTCGGCATTCTTAATGCAGATCTTCTTTTACGACTGTACCCAGAGGGTAGCAGTGCGTTCATGATTCCCCGATCGTCTTGAAAAGCGTGAATTTGACAAAGCCTAAAAATAATAGCATTTTCATAATCAGCCCAAAACTTTAGAAATAGGCCGAACTCACAGAGACGTGTGTGGCAAAAAGATTATCAAGCCAGCCACCAATGGATGCAGTGTGCAGTAAGTGTAGTATGTAACTATGTACCTCTGGCAGCCAGTTCGCTGGCAGTATAGAGGGGCAAATCTACATTAATTTGAGAAGGCTGTATAACCAGACAGTTGGCAAATGGCGGTGTGAAGGCGCAAATACTGTTTATGCCAGCGTTCCTTTTCATACATTGGCAAAACCTGGTGGTAAGCGGGCTGGCGGTATAAAGGGTGTGTGTGTGTGTGTGTTGTTGTTGAGTATGATAGGTTCGAATGTATATGTCAACCGACCTTTGGTTGGTGATGACCTATAGTCTTTGGAAGCTGGTTCACACTGGCCCTACATACGAGCATGTGACGACAAGTGGTGCTTCATGACGTTACTGGCATTGGGCTTGCTTTCTCATTTTTGTATTGTCTTCTTAATTTGTTCTTTGAGACTGCTTGGCAGATTAAGCAAGCTGGCAAAGCCGAAGAGAAAGCACAAAGTGTACAGCCTGCTGCTCAAACTGCAGTTACAGAAAGAGGTAAAAACTTTCAAAAAGTGAAAGTTGCCACAAGCATCGCATCCACTACTCTACGCTGTCGACAATCATTACTATTTGACCAACCCTCCGCAAACTGAAAACCCGGCTAAACAGAAGATTATCTAGTGGTTCCGCTGATTTCAGTTTAAGCAGGCTAAACCGTAGGAACAATAAATTACATACCAATTTGACAGAACAACATCTTCAAGAATTGTGAATTTAATTAAATCTAGGTAGGATTACAGGAAGAAGCTTGTCTTTAGAATTCTTCTACTGTACTTCTTGGCCAGTCTTCTTGGACAGTGGATAAATATTCAGTATTAATAAACAGATGTTTGTGGCAACAAGTTGAATTTTTTTTTAGGTTGTGTGTTTCAACTCCTGTTTCTCGAATCCCCTTAAGGTAAGAAAACATGACAGAACATCAACTGGAGTGTAAAGCAAAAGTCACAGCTAGTGTCAAGTCAGTTTTCGCACACGCATTTCAAACTAGAAAAACCCATGACAAGCAGGTGAGCTGTTTTCAACAATATGGGTAATACAAAAGTATTTTTCCACGTTGGACTTCATTTGTAACAAAGAAAACAAGAGCTTTCTTTTGTCTTTCCCCAGCAAGAGGAAACCTTTAATATTTCACATAATTTCAGCTTTCAATTCTGTGCAACAATAGAGTTTCAAACATGAGGAGCAAAACCAGATTAATTTTCCCTACATAAACATACATACAGAACAAACATTTTAAAACAATAAATTGTATGTACTGGTAAACATACACTATGATACACACCGATTCATAGAAAAGAGTAAATACATACAGAATGAGTTCATCCAAATGTTGGCGCTATTACTGCAATGTCAAGACAGTCAAAAAATATTTGCAACAATTACAAAAACCCAATCTTTATTTTTTTAAAAAGTAAAAGAGATGACAATGACTTGTAGCACCTATGGATTGATGAATGCATTCCAGTCACTTCTCAAACTGAATGACACTAGGTAAACCTGTAAAATTTACCTACTTTAAAAATCCCAAATAATGACTGCACAAAAAATAAGAAAAAGAGAAAAAAGAAAAAAAAGAAATAGTGTGGACAGAAACAATTCTCACATGTCTCAAAGACCACTGTCTTTATTGAAGCTGTTGCAAATAAGGCAAGGCTAATGAAAGTAGCAAAGCCCAGTTTTATAGCTCTTTATGGTAGTCTATTACCATGCTGAAATAGACAAATCACTTCACCCTTAAAACCCTGAATTCTTCTTTTTCATACCTCCCTAGAATCCTGAATTAAAATTGAGATGCTAGAAAAAATTAGGTTGGTTCATTATTTTGTTTACTGTGTCTTTAATTGTTGTTAGATTTTACTGAAGTTTGAAAATGTTATTTATATATGAATGCACAGTCTGAACAAAGGGGGAAAAGGTTAAAACACTGGTTTTTAGGACCAACTCTATGAGTTAAGTCTTGTGTGTGATCCCCGACTCCACTTCAGTCAAAGTATTATTAGACCCAGCTGTAGATCTAGCCTCTGGTAGCTTTAGTGGTGATCCCCTGCCAATTCCACTATCGTCAAAATCATCATCGATGTTATGCAGAACATGGCAATCGTCTTCAGCTGTCATATTTATCGATATATCCGACTGGGAGATCATTATTGGGATCTGGTTAGGATAAAAAATGTCAAAAATTTTGCGGCCTGAAGAGCCTGGCAGCGAAAAGTGGCTAATTTTTCTTAAAAACGCGCAAAATTTCCAAACTTTCGGTGTAGAACTGCTCTCATGACTATTATCGGTACTTTCTGCTCGCGACAGAGTCATCTGGAGTTACATCCCCTGTTTCTAGCACTGGGAATTAAACGATAAAGTCGACCAGCGGTAACCAGCGGTATATGAAAATAGGGCGTCAGCGGTTACTAGCGGTATAGGGTTTTAAGGGTTAATCATCAAAGTCAGGTTATTGGGTCCACGTTATATAATACACCCCAGCATTGGAACAAATGTTTACCCTTGTTATGAATACAGAGATACCATCAAATAACAAATGGCCTTAAGAACAAGTAATGAATAACCAAATTATTTGAACTCTATGAACCTGAGTGCACTCTACTTGTGCCACTCAGAGCACTGAAAGCCCGTATGAATGTATGACGGTGCAAACAACCTAGCAGCTGACCCAAGGGAGCTCATGAGCACCGGTCCTGTAAATCTCAGGGGACCACAGTTTAGCCATGGCAAAAAGCATTCGCTAGAGATTTTGTGGGGTCACCAACAAGCGCTTATCTGCAGTCCATAAAAATTAAGACAATCACCTGTGCAAACAGCCACTCCCCCCCCCCCCCCCCCTTCGATCTTTTTTTACATTATAAAGACACTGTGGAAGACGGACCTTTTGTCCTTGACACTGGGAGGCCGTTTTAGAGAGTATCGACTGTAAATGGATTTAAAACCAAAACCAAAAGAAAAAAAATACCACCAGTATTAACGTTTGTGATTACACTTCAGTTTTTTTCTCCCCTCAGTGACTAAAGCATCACTTTGACACCTTGTTGCTTTAAGCAAATCTCTGTGTAGCTGCCGATAGATCTAGGAGTCCATGAGTTCCACGGCCATATCTCTCACACGCTGAACTTGGTCCTCGGTGCCGTAACTCTCCTCAAATCGCACAAACTTTTGCAGCAGGAAGGACAATTTTTTCGAGTTCAGTTTCTGCTTAACCGCTCTTTCAAGAATATGTCTGAAAATGACAGAAATCAAAATCTTTAGAATCTAACAAAGGCTGTAAATGAATCAGTTTCTCAGAATTTTCTTCGAGGAAAAATGAAGAAGAGATTTTAGCAATACTCAAAGAAACAGCAGTTTGTAAAAAAATCAAAACAACTTACAGCTAATGTTAGTGGCAACTTTCGAAAAAAAATAAATAAAAAAGACTGCCAGGCTACCTTTTCATAACAGTCGTTACCTTTTCTTTTCCTAACAGTGGGTATTTTACGTCTGAACGACCCTTCTGTAAATTACAACTAAAGTTCATACATATTTAGCAATTTTTTCTTTTATTCCCATCTGAGACATCTAAATATTCTGTTAAACACACAGAAGATGTTCCCTGTGTAAAACATGGGATGGGCCATCAGTGCTGTCAGACGTTTCCCGTGGAAAATGCGGGATTGTCATTATCGCTGTATAGCGCTCATATGAATGCCGCTAAAAGCACGCGATCAACTTAGATGCATGCATAGACATTTGTTTGATTCCACAAAAATTTCACGGAAATCGGTCCATAACTTTGTGACCCAGAGAATTTTTAGTTAGGTGACTGAAAAGACTACTTGTGTTGTAAATTGCAGTGACTGACTTATTTGTAAATTTTTAAACATTGAATTTTTTAATACCGTTTTACAAAACATCATGACAAATAATCTAGAAGAGATAGACTCTTGTACTTTGGTATGTTTATCGTTTTTTGTTGTTCTTGATTGTGCCAAAAGGGCACTGCAATTGGTTCAATGGTTCAGATTTTATATAATTTTGAAAAAAAAACCCCAAAACCCTCAGTCTACGGTGCTTGTACATGATAGTAAAACCCTTCAGTCTTCAGTGGGTTAAAAAAAAGTGTGCAGGAAAGATGTTTTTAGTAAGAGCTTTACGGACAATGGCTATCTGTAGTGTAAAAAAAAGTGGATTAAAATTATTAAAAGGGCATTGAGTCTACCATCCCCCCAGATATGAAATAATAGTTTTGTGTCTCACCTTGCCCCATCAGTATCTCCAACTTTGGCGACCATGTCTACATACACAGACCACAGGTCAGTGCGACCTGGGTAGCTGGCAATCAGGTTCTCAAACATAGTACGCCCTCGCTCTGCATCGCCATGGGAGAACTCCAGTGTTGCAAATCTTGTGATTATTTCAACATCTTTGGAGAGAAAGGAATAAAGATGAGATTGAAAATACAGACTGAAGACTCTTATCTTGACTTTTGATGAGAAATGCAACAAACTCACATGCCATGGTGACACATTATATTGCTCTCTCCCAAGCTTGTCATGAAACCACAAAATGCAATATTTGTGCAAAAAAAAACAAAAAAGGAAGTGATAACATTGGAGAAAGTGACAAAATACATTTGAAGATTTTATAATACTAACTACAATATAAAAACTGGAAGAAAGTGACAAAACCAACTTGAAGGTATATAAAATAACATGGTGAAATATTGAAGAAAGAGACAAAATGTAGCTTTTACTGTAATGATGAGACTATCAGGAAAAAAATCCAATCCCTTTTCTATTCATATGACATATGTGGTAACTCCAGGGAGTACACACCAGGGATTAGAGGTAAAACCAGAGCGTTCACCAATACAAGCACAAATTGTCAGCAAAAGATGATATCGTTATGCAAATAAGAAATAACTATAAACATAGTTTACAAAAAGAATTTAAAATAGGGTTTAAAGAAAAGAACAGACGCTTATAAACAATATTTTGACACTTACGATCCTTCTTATCAAGTACAGTTATGCACCGTTGAAGCAAATTCCGAGCAGATTGAATGCGATCAGCCTTGAAAAGGAACTGAGCGTAAGACTTCCACACAGACTTGTCCTTCTTGTATTTTCTTGTCATTACAATATACAACTGCTCTGCATCCTGGGAAGGAAAAATAGCATAACAATTTATGGAAAAATCGAAGGAAAAGAAAAAGACCTAAACCTTAGAAATTGAAAAATATGTTTTCAGTGTTCAATAATGAAAAATAGGGTTATGCATTTTTTCTTTTTGACAGCCCTCCCCTCCTTCCCCTTTGATTGCAGATATTTTATGCCCCTATTGGTACAGTTTAGACAATAGAAGGCTGGCTATTCAATCCTGCCTATCAGGACAACCCAAGCTGAGTGGGACACAGCACTTTAGGAAACAGATGGGAGATACTGGATAAAATAACATTCCTGTCCAGGAATCAAACCCAAATCTTTTGCATGAACTGTTGCAAGGTCTGATCATAACACCACAGAAGCTGGACTCATTTTTTGTTGTTGAACAAAGTGATGTTGAAGTAGGGGAAGAGGAAACAAAGATGAGGAGAGATAAAAAACACATAAGCCCAGCATGATCACTGGATCCGCGACATCGCTATTGATGACACAACATCAAAACCAATCTTGCCTCCCACAACGACGACGTTCACTCATGCACAATATTAAAACCAATCTTGCCTCAAACAACAACGTTCACGACATGACATGAAAACCAATCTCACCTGCCACTATAACAATGTTAACGACACAACATCAAACCCAATCTCCTCACCTCCCACAATAACAACATATACCTTCTTCTTCTATCCTGTGGTTGGGGCAACCATGGGGGCACCACTGCTCTCACCATCTATGTTTGTCCTCTGTTTTCCTCAGATTGTCACCCATCGTCTTTCCTGTCCACTCTGTAATGTTGTACTCCCATTTCCTTTTCTGCCTTCCTCTCTATCTCTTTCCTTGTACGGTTACATATACCACATGACATTAAAACTAACCCCACCTCTGTGACAATAATTTTTACGAAATGACATCAAAACCAATCTCACCTCTGTGACAATAACATTAACGAAATGACATCAGACAAAACCAATTCACCTCTGCAACAATAACGTTAACAAAATGACATAAAAACCAATCTCACCTCAGTCTTCCCTGCACTGACATACATCTCACACTGTTTGAGGTAGACGTTCAGTGGCTCATTGTACTGAACAGCTCTCTCAAGCAGTCTCTTCACCTCCTTTGGCTCACTGTAGATCGTCTCCATGTTCAGGTATGCCAACCACACATTCAACTTCTCTTGTTCTTCTCTGTATAGCAGAAATCAAATAAAAAAGACTCATACACAAAGGTGCAAAAGTTGGTTATAATATTATTATAGCCCCCCCATTCAAAATGCTTGACCCAGTGTGCAAAGACGCAGGGTCACTGTGGGGTTGCAGTTATGTCTCTGTAGAACAGTAGACAGTGAGTTGTGATGGTGAGTTTTACTCACAAAAGATTAGTATTTGATCAACACAACTGTGGAAACAGAATATCACAAAAGTCACAAAACTAAAAGTGAGAGGATCAAGAGCTTGCTTCAGGACTTTTCACATCTTTTAATTCCAAAAGACATTCAGATCAACTGGTATAACCGAAAAACAGTGACTGCTATTGTGGTATTGATCTGGTGTGTCCTACGGTAACCTGAAAGACAAACCAACACTGAATCTATCAGTTATGGCCATCATAACTGAAAAAACAACAACAATGCCATAACAGTATTGATCAACAGTGTCTTACCTGAAAGATATGGTTTCCAGAGCCTTCTCTGCCACAGCCCTGGCTTTCTCCAGTTCTCCGAGCTCCACATGGTGCGACATGTAGCGGAGCCAGACCAAGGAGCTGTGAGGAGACTGAAGCACCAGGCGCTCGTAGTCCGCTGCCGTCTGAGGGGTTAGGTTACCTTCCAGCTGGTTCCTCTCATACTGAAACAGCAAATACAAAAAGACATAAAAATGTATAAACAAATCTATTACTTTTTCTTCCTCTTTTCTACATGCTACGCCTGATTAAATAAACATCAAAAGATATAAAAAATGTTCTCTTTACATTGATCCCAGTTTTTTTAGTCAAGAAAAAACATGATAAAAGAGAAAACCAATGACATGATAACAGCCACCCAGTGCAGGGGAAATTAAGATAGAAATAACTGTTGAAAAGAAAAGATATAGGACCTACCAGGGGCATCCTCTAATCCCCAGTAATATCAATTCTACAAGGAAATTCGGTTTACAATAACACTTAAGACAAGATTTTCTTTCAAAGTAAGAAAACGGGGTTCTCAAGGTTTAGAGGCTACAGTGTTTACCTCTCATTCAATAGGTCTGTCCCGTGTTCGGATCCAGATAGTTACGGAAAATTTTCTTCTCTAAAATTTTCTCCTTTCCTGCTCTCTAACAATGTTCTGTCGTCTGCGTTCGTCTCCACATTCTGCCCCCAACCCCTCACCTCTGTTGTCCCCTCCTCTTGACTCTCTCTGCAGCCTTTCCTCCAATACTCCTTGGCTCCTTTATACTGCTGTCTTTCAGCCACACCCCTGATCTTATGGTATGTAGGATCTAACACCTAGCCTTCTCGGATAAAGGCATAATATCTCGGAGGTCCAGTGTGCAGTTGCGTATGTTAAAGATCCCTTGGAGGTCCAAAATCGATAAGAGTAGGTTTTGGCCCCCACCCAGGCAAAATTTATAATTTCCTACCAACTAAAAATTTCCGATGTGTCCTGCGCACTCATATGACCGTATGCAGTTATGAGCGCCATAAAACACTTACAAAAACAAAACAAAATTTAAAAAAAAAAAAGTGAGCAAAAATAATGACAAAAAGTAGGAGACAAAGAATAAGTATGTAAGCACCATCTTTGCACTTCAGAAGACTTCACAATGTTAACAAACACCAGGCACTGTAACTCACACGGCATCTCAGCCACTTATGAATGCACAAACCTCTTGAATTAATTTCTCCTCCTCCCGCTTTTTCTTCTTTCTTGATTTTAGAGATTCAGGAGCAACCTAGAAATTAAAATAAAAAAGATTTATAAAGAAATTAAGATTAAATGAACACAAGTAGAAAAAAAAAGAAATGTCTGCAATGGTGTGAGTGTGTGAAAGGGAGGGAGGAGGGAGGGAGAGAAAGAAAGAAAGAGAGAGAGAGAGAGAGAGAGAGAGAGAGACTGGTATTCATAAACACAGAAAATATCATCAAATGTGAGAGGAAGGGAGAGGGGGAGGGGGAGGGGAAAGAGAGAAAGAGATAGAGAGAAAAAAAAAAAGTGGGGTGGGGGAGCTGATGAGTATAATTATAACACTCCAAAGAAAAAGATGAATGAGAAAAAGTGTCACATATAAAAAAGACTACTTGTGGTGCGTGTGTGAGAGAGGGAGAGAGGGAGGGGGAGAGAGAGAGAGAGAGAGAGAGAGATGACAATTTACAAAGGCAAGCATAACTAAGATTATATCTGTGACAGAGGCTAATACTGTAAAAATCAAAGACTCATTATTTTTCAACCTTCCTACTTTGGTGCAACAAATGGGAATCAGACTGAGAATACTCACAGTGTCATCATCATCATCGTCCTCTTCATTTCCACTGGCGCCATTCTCCTCCCCATGTTCCTTCAGGAGCTGTCCGTCCCATGAGAAGCCAGGCAGAGACAGTCGGGCGGGTGCTTCTGAGGGCTCCTCACTTGTTGTCTGAGAATAAGAAAAATAAATAAAACATCCGCCATAAACATGCGCTGAACTTCTGTTGCGATGTAAAACCCAAAACATGTGTGTCTGATTTTCAGAAAAGTAGTTGATGTTTACAGCACCATTCCCACTTAAAGAAAAGGGAAGAATTTTTTAAAACGTAAATAACAATCAAAAGTCGCAGAGTATCACTCAATCAACTATTTTTAGAAAGGCAGTCAACGTTTACAGCACCATTCCCACTTTAAGAAAAAGAGAAAAAAAATTGAAGTAAACGACAATCAAAAGTCAGAGAGTACCACTCAATCATATGCAACCTAAATTTAAAAAAATGAAAAGCATGACCAAAGACAATAAACAAAATTCAATGCTGAATTCTAACTTACAACTGAGGCAGCTACTGCGGCAGCACTAGTGTTTTCCTCTTCCTCAACCTCTGAGGAACTTTCATTGATGTCCACTCCACTATCCTTCTGCTCTTCAGCTTGAGCTCTCCTCTTCTTCATCTTCTTTTTCAGCCGTCTTTGTTTCTTGAGTGCCTTTTCTGGATCGATTTCCGCCTCCTCTGTTTTTTCAGAGACCGAAGATTTCCTCTTACGTTTTTTTCTTTGAACAACAGGACCTTTGCTGCAACCATAAAACAGACAATGAATCAGTAAGATGATAAAGTTGATGGAGCCAAACTTTTCTGATAAAATTTAACAGTGAAAATTTTAGCTCTCATTCACACGGTTCCCATAAGAGATGGCAACAGCTTGCTCGATTTGTCGTTGTTCAGAGTATAATGTAAACAACAAACCAACAACAAAATTAGAAAAGATGGGCAAACCTCTAAATAAACAACTCTTGAACACTCTCACAGACATCAGAAGCGGAACAATGAAGTTACAGAAAGAGACAAACAGACAGAAACAGAGGGAAAGAAAAGATATAAGACCTAACAATTGCACTCATCAAACATCAAAGACCAGCCCTAGCAGACGAAAAATTGTTTCAGCAAAGGGAAGCACTTTGACACATTAACTCTCACTTAGCACGAGAGGAACGGTAAGACAGACAGAGCCAACAGACAGAAAGGTAAATGTACAAGATAGACTTTGGCTGACCTGTCTTCAAGCAGAGAGAGTGTGGCCATGTCCCCTTCTACACTCTCCACACGGCAGCGGATATATTGACCAACGGCATGCAAGATGGATGGCTTGGACTGAATCACACCCAGACGACCACTGGGAAGCTTCACATGAAGGCATGTGTCTGTCTTCATGCTAGAGATTTGGGCAGTCACGTTTTGGCCAACTTCCAGCTTGATATCCGAACCTGGGAAAGAAAGACCAAAATAAATAAACCAGTAAAACCCCGATGTCACAAACAATTGATGTTAAATTATTTTTGCTTAGTCAAGGTCTACCTTTATTGCCTAAAATATACGCAGCTATTTTCTAAACAACTTGTAAAAGTCTAGACGCCATAATTTTTAACCACGGAACACCTGTAATATCTATCAAGTATGACCTTAGAGGCATGCACTAAAAGTTCTTCCCATTGGCACAACTGACAATATTCACAGGTTTGAGAACATTGAAATATTAATTAGGTGGGAGAAGGAAAGGAAGAAAGGGTTGTATTTTGAAACTAAAAATACCCAGCAAATTAATTTGTACAAAACTTGTAAAATTTACATAGGTGAAATCACAAAGAAAAATGTAATTTACAGATATGATGAATAACTCATTAAAAAACAACCCCCCCTCCCAACAAAAACTATTTAAGAAGGAATAGAGCTCAGTCTTGATGCAGTGGCAAAGAGTCTAACAATTACACTGCAGATGATGGTGAGTGACTCAAACTCTTGCTCTTGTTTTACACAAAGATTCCAGTAATAAATACGGTTATAAAACTGACAACTTCTACTCTCTTCTAACCCCCTCCCGTGTACGTACCCACAAGAGACAGCACCAGCTTGTCCGAGTCGTCATTGTTCAGAACCGTTGCCAGCAGGGCTTGACCAGGAAGGAAACGATTGGTGGCATCATTGACCACAGACATGTCCTCCGACACACGGAAAAAGTCAATGTAGCCCTGCTGAGAGAGCCCGACCTGTACCCACACCTTGTGGCCAGACACCTGAGAATTTAAAGCATGAACTCATGACTGATTATAATGATTGTATATATATATACATTACACCCCCATCAACACAATTTTGATCATTTCGAAGGCAGGCTACTTCAATTAAGCCAGCAAGGGGCCAAACCAGGCTGACAGGGAAACAATATCCTTGGAGACAGAGACACAAGAAAAAAAAGTAACTTCCCTAGGTGGGAACTGAACTCATCCCTCTCTTGTGCAATGGCTAAGAGTCTAACCATTACAACACAGACGCAGGTGGCATGTACTTATCAATATTTCAATCTGAGATATATCAAAGACTAACCGAAAGACTACATGACAGTTTCAATGTTTAAGAAGTCATTGTGACTTGGGTGACTCTTGTTACGAAGTACACAGCTCACACTACAGTAACAGACTAAAGCCACAACTGTAACATACATCGCTCACATATACAAGAGACTATTGTGATTAATATAATGAGCGATGCAGTGAATTTGGAGGGTGGTGGGGACCACCCAGGTATTGACATTCAAAGCCCCATTTGTTTTAGTAAGAGTTTTATTGCACTTGCAACACAATAAGGTCATATAAGTGCTGAAGATTAGGTGTGTTACAAGAGAGTAACAAACACAAAATAGAAGGAGGGGAGATAAGGATGATAAATGTTTGATAGGAAAGAAGGAGCAAACAAAACCAGAGCACCTGCCAACCTCCCACTGCCCCATTTGGAAAAGCATACAGGTGGGCGGTAAGAAAATTTTAGCCTTAGGAGACCAAAGAAAGGTTGACAAGCACTGAACAATAGAAACAATGCTATAACTTACACTAGTGACTATTGTGACCTTGTTGTAACTTACGCAAGTGACTACTGCAATGCCGACAACTCACTGTCGTAAGACACACAAGTCAAAATTGCAAAACAGAGACAATTATTCCCAGGTGCAGCAATAAAAGTCACTATCATAGCCTGTTGTGGCAATATGCACAACCCATAACTGTAAAAAAACCCCAGAAACTCAAGACTGTAACATACATAATTCCCATATATCAACTTACACAAGTAACTATCGAAACTAGCTGTAACTTACCTTGATGACAAAGACCCAAACAAGGTCCCCGATTGCCAGGTCCAGCTCAGGCACCAGTAGCTCCTTTGTCTTCCCTTTCAGTTTGCTGAGGACACAGACAAACACTCAGTCACATCCCCCCAAAACACTACAGATTCAAAAATGCTCAGAAACTTAATTCAAAATTAATTTGGATTCTGTCAAGCCACTCTTTAAATATGTCCTGCTTAGTTTTAGTAAGAGTTTTTACGGCATTTGCAGCACAAATAAGTCATATGGGGGCTGGAGATTGGAAGTGTAACTAGAGAGTAACATGAGAAAAATGAAGGATAAAGACAATAGATATTAGATGGGAAAGAAGGAGAAACCACACCAGAGAATCCACCAACCACCCATGCCCTTTCCTGTTTGGCCTGTAAAAAAATATAATGCAGCCCTGCAGTACAAATCGGCGAAAACTAACCAGTTTTTAAAAAAGTACAGTGCTAGTGTTCAACCCCGCCAAACCATGCCACATGTTTCTCCCAAAAACATTTTCTAAGGCTATGATATAAATTAACCAGTAGCCTCATTTTCATCTCTAGAGAGAAAAGTAAGTAGTTGCCAGCGTCAGAAAAAAAATCTTTTACTTTCACTGAGCTTAACATGAATTTGAAAACCGGGTTTACATTTGAATACAGAAAAGAAGCACATCACCACAATAGCAGCCATTTATTGCAAGGCAAAGAAAAGATAGCAACAAAGGGTACAAAAATGAAACCCAACTAGGACCTTTGTTTTTACGCCCCCATCAACACAATCTAGCTAATTTACAAGTTAACAAGGCAGGTTGCTTCCCGGACCTGCCGATAAGGGCCCCGGCTGAGTGGGGTACAAAATCCCAGGAGATAGATGGGATGCTTGATAGCATGCAGGGGTAAAGGCTGACTTGTTTGAAAAGGTAATCAGGGTGAAACAAAGAACCAGGTATAAATGAGGCCACCAACGAAAACTTTTCCACAATAGGAAAATAATTAACATAACTTCTTATTTGAAGTGGCATCACGGAGTTATGAATGAAAACAAATCCTGAATTAATATTGTACAATTGTTCACCTGCAAAAATAATAGAGAAAATATCTCATTAAATGATTTTATTCCCACTTTGGGCAAATTTAACTATAACTTTTTAATGCATGGTGAGAATAATGGTCTCAAGATTTTTCAAAAGTAAATCAAACTAAAAATGTGAATACACAAATAAAACGCAAAGAAGCAGAGCTGACAATACTACAAATTATATATTAGCAGTTTGGTTTCAAATTTGGCAGTCTTTGTCTTGCTTTTCGTGGCCAGGAAATCATGTCGAGATCTGAGTACAGAAAAGTAAAAAGTCGAGAAAAAAAGAACAAGCATTCTCAGCAGCCTCAAGATTAATAGGAGTTAGTCGCCCTCACTTTTTTGAGTAGGCTCTACCAATCAGTGCTTATGACTGCTTATTAGAGTAGCCTGAGAGGGGTGAACAGGGTATTTATGTTCCAATGAAAGTTTTAAGGTAGTGCACCGGGCTCAAAGTTAAATTATCTAAATTCATACGGCCTACGTTCATGGGTGTATTTGATGGCGACAATGTTCCCAAATTACAAAAAGGAAGTAGTGATCATTTGATTTTGTAGACACTTTGCCCCGCGACAGTACGCAACAGCTGAATGCCATATAACATGCATTTATCAGACTGAAAGCTGCTACATCTTCAAAAGCATTGAGTCTCCCACTTTTGTTCAGTAAAACACTTGATCACTTTATTTGACTGAAGTTCTGTCTTCATTTTGTCAGCTGATATCAAGTAAAGGAATTGCAGTACTGAAACCAATTCCTTTGACTTTTGAACAGGAAAACCCCCCACAAAAAACAAACAAACAAAAGATTTTATACTCAAACGCAAAACAAGACTATTCTGAAACAGTCGAATACCTTTCTTTCAGCGTACACTCAAGCAATGTGCGACTTGATTTGACTTTGGTCACTGGTAAGTAGCTGTGGAAGAAAAACAAAAAGAATTTAGTGTGACTTGAAAAAAAAAGTCTGCAAACAAGCAGAAAAAAATCTAACATATTCTGTCAATTTCATTGCTTGAGAAGCTGTAAAAAGTGGAAGTTCTTTTCTCACGCGGGTGGCAGAGAAATGACAGCCAAACTTTAAGGTAAAAAATATTTTGATTTCAAGCAAACTGGAAAAAATGTTGCTGTCAAAGCAGACAAATAGGTCACGGGTCAAGTGACGGCACTGGCAAGACAGAAAGATTTAATTACGATTCGGCCAGATGAGTGTAGGAGACTCGTCAGTGAACAAACAGAAAACAATAAACGATCTCAATGCAAGCTTTTACTTGGACAGGTTCTTTATTCTGAACAACTTCTTCTCACACCTGGCTGTGCTTAGCATGTTGGCCACCTAGCATCATCTAACCACACTCAAAGGACAAGTATCAGCATAACCCAGTGCGTCCATTAGACCGCCATGGCCACACCATCACATTGCCTCAACATATGAGAGAGAGGAAAAGGAAGAAGGAAGAGGGAGAGGGAGAGGGAGAGAGAGAGAGAGAGAGAGGGAGAGAGAGAGAGAGAGAGAGAGAGGGAGAGAGGGAGAGAAAGAGAGAGAGAGAGAGAGAGAGAGAGAGAGAGAGAGAGAGAGAGAGAGGGAGAGAGAGAGAACAAACCTTTGTGACTTGACATCCCTTAAGCCGATCACTCGCACTTTGATCATTTGCTCTGGGTGGAAACGACGCAGTGGGTTCTCTCCCTACGAGAAAAAAAAAAATCCAGTATATGATCATAAACTAAATTAGAAAGGTGAAAAACACAAATAGGTGCCATAACAAGAAACAGAACTCTCTAGTTTAAGTATAAAAATCCCACCAAAGGGAAACTTATAAAAATTTACTCTCCTCTTTGACACCTCCCAGACCCCAAAAGCATACCTGCCAACATTGCCTGGGCCAAAATCTGTAGTTGGACGCAAATTTTTGTCCAAAAATCTGTAGTTGACCTAAAAATTCTGTAGTAGGCTATATTACCTCTTGTCGCATACTTAATTTGGGACCCTTATTAATATTTTATTTTGACCCACATCAAATATGCATGATTGTGTTTGCGACTTCAAACAAATGTAGAAAATGACAAAGAAAAAATGACAAACATGAAAACTACCAGAGGCATTTACTCTATTAGTAGTTGGTGCAGTTCCTGTCCTATTCATACCTGCACCAACACACACACAAATGAAACCAAAAAACCACAACCCCCCCCCCCAAAAACAAAACAAAAACAGAAGCAAAGATGAAGAAAAGGTGGGCCTTGGATGACTTAGGCCTAGCCTTGGCCTTGTGTCTTTGCAGAGTTTACAAGGAAAGAGTATGACGGATCCCGAGTCCACACAAGGCCTGCACCAACACGCGTTTTGCAGAGAGTTTTCTAGATCTAGAGGTAATAAAAAATTTAGAATACTAAATACTTTTTGTCCCCTGGCCTGGTGTTGCCTTCACCCCCCCCCTCCCCCGAGTGTATCTTTAAAAAAAAAATACCCCCCCCCCCATTCCGGAGTCCTATACTACGCAGCGCTCAGACTCTGAATGAACTTTGGTGACCCCCTACAAGTGCCGGTGCTCACAATGTGATGGAACGCGCAAGTTCATTGACCGGTCACAATGGCGAACCCGACAAGACGCTTGTATAACTATAACTTTCTTTTCTTTTTTTTTTTCACAAGTGACAGCACAGGACAAATATTGATTTATTTTCAAGGCGACACAGCGTTTGCCATGCACAGCCTGCATGTTGTTACAATTAATGTTGCGTTATCAAACTGCTACCAGCAAATTTCTGGGTGGTAACGAAAGTGAAAGTATATCTTGATTATCCCGATCAAACGTCGGTATCACACCTGCTTGCCACCATAGCCGCCTGTCTGCGTGGAGAAACATGCTCTCGAGGGAGCCGAATGAATCACAATCGCGACCGGCAAAAATGAACTTTCGGGCGTTATCGGATTTGGTTTTCAAATATTTGATAACTTTCTCAAATTCCCGGGGCCTGGCAGTCACCCTGCTGAATCCCGAAGTCGGTGGCTTCATCTCAAAATCGGTGGATCGGTAGTTTGACCCAAAAGTCGGTGATCTACCGATTTTTCCTGTAGGGTTGGCAGGTATGCAAAAGAAAATAAAACCAAAGGGTCTTTTCCTTAATAACTATCCACAACATAGGTCTAAAGAGGATCTAGAAGACAATCGTCCTCTCAAAAGTTGATTATTTAAAAAAAAACAAAGGTCGTAAAGCCTCTAATATATTCATCAAATTTACTTTGTTCACAAGATGCGGTCACAAACAACCGTACAACAGAAATGTAAAAGTAGTTTACTGTAATGTAGCAATGCCTATGAAAATTTAAATTTTCACTTTAGCCCTTTTTTTTTGGTACCTAAGAAAGAATTTTCAATTATAAGAATTGTGCTTCTTGAATTTTGAGAATCGGTTCATAAATAAAAAAGTTATGGGGTTGTAAAGGTCGGCAAAATATGGATGACCCACATATAGGAAAATACTCCTAAAAAGTGGAACACGCAGTAGCAGATTCTGTAAGAAAATCGACGATATCTCGGTAACTAATCGGAGTGTTTGAGAGAAACTTGGCTACCCGATGTGTTTTTGAGTGTACAAATCATTTCTGCAGTCAGATTTACTACCAATTTTGTAGTTATTTTGTCATAATTAAAATTGTGGTGTATGTATTAAAATTTTGCGAAAAAGGGGTGTCGGGATGAGTCCATTTTATTTATAGCATCGTATCACAACATGGAATCTTTAAGAATATATGTCGGCAGCGTGACTAAATAATTGCAAAGCTTTTTATGATGACTTTAGACCATGCCGACCGTAAGAGATAAGTTAATTCAATCTAGCGTGCCGTACAATTAAAAATTCTTTTTCCCCGTTGAGATGCGAACACCCCGAGACGAGATAACCTCGCCTCGGAATACCCCCATTGCGATGTTACAGGGGAATAGAGAGAAAAACAACCGGATGCGCGCGCCCGCCATTGCCCTATTTCAAGTGACCAATGAACGGGCCAGGAATAGTCATGCGGGGATTTGTAGGTCACATACATTTGCCACGAGAGTGAGGGGAAAATGGCCGGTCTCCGTGCAAAGCCGCTTTGGACACGGGGGTAGTCGTGCATTTATGATCGGGTCTAAATAACTACTTGACACAGAACGTTCAAATTTGAGCACACTACAGAGGATAGATGGATCTATTACCATGTCGGCGTTGAAATTCAAACTCCTTATAGTTTTCGGTGTGCACGATACGAAAGTGTTCCGGACACCAAAAGTATAGGTTAATTTATGTGTACGAACTTCAACGTCCACATATCATTAGTTTGCCCTATTTTCTGATTGGTTGCCGAGTTTCATTCGGATTGATTCGGAAATAGAGCAGACCGAGGTTGACAAAGTTAGTCACCTACGCTTCGGCTGGGTCCGCAAAATCGCCCGTAAACGGGGACCAAATTTTCGCCGCGCAGGAAAGCCCGATTGGCATTGCTATGTAATGTCATCCTGGAAGTTTAGGTAATGACTCACTTGTTTGAGATCATCTGCTGCCTCTGAAATGTGAACTCTTCCATGAAGATTCCCTGCAGCGATATTTAACTGGAGAGGATGAACAGTCTTCACCCTGAATGGAAACACAAATGCAAACACATTAACGATTAGTCTATGATTAATGCAGAAGAATAAAAAAGTAATATAAAGGATGTTTAAGGACCCATTTAAAGTGCAATAAGTGAGTCATCTTTACAACAATTTCAACAAATTTGGCATATAAAATATCAAGTTTTTTTTGTGGAAGGTATTTTTTTGGTGTTTTATGGTGTACCTCTAGACAATGAGAGTCCTCAACAATCAAAATAAAACAATTTAAACTAAAACTGAGTAAAATGCAAAACTTTACTTCTTATAAGAGTTCAGCTACAGGGGTGAGATCAGCCCTTTCTCCTTAAGGGATGAGGGTAGTAAAACCACGACCATCACATTAAACGAATATGTCACTGTGTTGAGTCAGTTGTGGAAAAGGCTGGGGGGAGGGGCAGGGGGTGCATAACACTTACTTTGCTTGCATCAACATGGTAGGGAAAAAAGAAAGATTAACCCTTACTTTGCATCAGCCAAGGCAATATTGGAAAAAAATATCGTACAGACACTGAGCTTCCACTAACTACTAAAAATATGAAAGTATAGTTAAAAACTTGCGCTCTATTATTTCACCACGACAGAAAAAGAAGGAAGTATTGTATCAACAATTATTATGCTTTCACCAAGGCAACGGAAGAAAGTTAAGTATTAACACTTACTTCGCTTTCACCAACTCAGATGAAGACGAATGTTACACATGAACACTTACTTTGCTTCCATAAACGTCTCTGGCTTGATTTGGTGTATGGCTTGTTTCCGTTTCCTCAGCTCTTCCTCCTCTTTGGCTTTTGCTGCTGGGTCATTCATCAAGAGGACTCCTATTTGACTGTCCCCAAAACCCCTACAGACAAAAAAAAAAAAATCCTCATTGAACAAAGCGAGTTCTTGCTTTTTTAAAACACAGTATTGTAATTTCCATGGCAATATTTTGTGTTTGTTCAGAGAAACAGCTGTAGAAACTAAGGACAAAGTTACTAAAGCAAAGGGCTAATCATTAATTAAAACAAAAGTTTTGAATCCCAAGGTCTAAAAATACATAAATACTCACTCTTTAATCACAACATCTGTGAAGGTTCCAACTTTATACATGGGATTAGCTTCCACATCATTCATGTGCTGGAAAAGAAAAAACAAAAACCCAATTATTGAGAGAAGACTTAATGATCCATCACATAAAATATTTAATGAACTGACTAAACTGATACATTTTACTTGTATCATTTTCAAAGCCCCCTTAATCATAATAAAACTTTTCATGAGTTATTAGGAAGCATTCAAGGCATTTTAGAAACAAGAATTTCAACCGTAAGTACTCATACTTCAGAACTAGTCAAATCTAAAAAAGACTCAGCAACAATGGTCTAAAGTTTATTATACATGTACATTGATTTCAGTAACCACCAGACCATAGATCATTTTGCTTCTACATGAATTTTATGACTATTAATCTGGAGTGGGGTAAATTTTTTAATTTGAGTATCTCTATCTCTCGGATTGGCCTATTCCACCCTGATCGGATTGGAGCAAACAAGCAGGGTCGAAGTAGCCTTGATACGATCAAAAGTTATGTTGGAAAGGGCGCCATAGATTTATAATTAATTTCCACAAAAAAAGAAAAAAAAGAAGAGACAGCCCTTCGTCAAATTAAAACTGTGTGACAGAAAAGACTGATACTCACTTTACGCCCTGGAACAAAAACAAATTTTCCAGCTCCGTGACCCCTTAGTCCCAATAAGAGGAACTCTGGATTTACCAAGAGAACATCTCCTTTCAGAACCTGTTCCGCTTTGAGCTGAAATATTGTCAAAGGCAACAAAAGGTTAATAATAACAAAGATAAAAATTTGGCACTGTACAAAGCAAAGCATTTCTATAATTCAGGTCAAAAGAAATAAACAAGGAATAGATAGGTTTAAAAAATATTGTCCTTTGAGGAAATAGCACACTGTTGTTAGCTTAGGCTTCATTCCTGTTAGTAGAAAACTAAAAAATTACTAAGAACATTAAAGACAAAAATGTTTGTTTGAGAAAAGAGAAGCATACGGACACGATAATGGTCATTTAGTGCTGGGAAAAAGTAAGACAGAGAGACAGAAACAACTCAGGGAAAGTAAAGAAGTAGGACCTACCAGTGCAACCACCCACAACAAAAAAGTGGTATGCTGCAAAGCTAGGAGCTTCCATCAATGAGGTGGAAAGAAATAAAGAAGGAAAAGATACTTTTTTTGTGTTTTTCTGAGAATAACATACTGCTTCTAGCTTGAACTTCATTTCAATCTTTAACATCTCAAACATCTTGTCAAATTGTTCTCTGAAAATGAAGCATCACCCTTAGCTTCTGATCTGCAAAAATCATTTATGTTGTTTTCAACCTGGGAAATAAGCGTCATCTTATGCTCAAGCTTCGCTCATTCATAAACACAAAATTTCCCTCAATATAAAAAAGAAAAAATTTAACGAAAACCCAATCACCTAAAATTCAACCCCAACCCCAAATTTTTAAAAATCAGAGATAATCATTTTACTGTCTTCTTTCACTCAAAAATTTTTAAAATCCTAAGCACCATCTTAAGCTGCTGTAACGTAAGTTAAGAAGTATCGCCACAGCACAGAACAAAAATCCCATTACTATCATTTCTTCTCAAATTCAGTTTGAACTCCCCTCCCTCCTTCCTACGGGTCCTAAATTCAATCATTTAATAATGACTGCATTCAAACCTGAGTCTTAACATTCTCCCTCCTGTTCTTCACGGCTCTGACGACCCTTGGCTCAATTGTAAGTTCGACACAAGGTGTCAGTGGATCCACAAATAGCACCACGGCCTCATACGATTGTCCCTCCTTAGGCTCAACACCTGAACAACACAAAAAACAATCATAAATTGGAAGAGCATATTTAAATACATTTCGACAGTGTTATCCTCATCAGCATTTGTGGTGTAGCAGTTAGGTGTTTTGCATGCAGAAAACGTGAGTACGATTCCAGCATGACGAGAACTTTTTGTAGAGTATCTCAGTCTTTCTGCAAGGCTGCCTACCCATCAGTATATGTTTTAGTAATCAGCAAAATAAAAAATGAGCTATCTGGCATAAAAATTCGGAATATGGCAAAGGATAGTCTTTTTCCCCCTCGGGTATCAAGTACACCAGTAGGCAGATAACCTTAAAAAAACCTCAACAAATAAACAAATTTAAAAAAATAAATCAGCTGCCAACATTCTTCCACAAAAATGTATAAAAAAAAGTACATTACATAACGCCACGAGAGACTATCCTTCCATTTGACCCCCCCCCCCCCCCCCCTAATTCCTTTGGCAATGTCAAGACAAACCATTTCAACAACAAAATTTCCCTGCGATTCTCCTCTCCCCCCCAAAAAACCCAGTGTCATGAAAGACAATGAAATCTTTCAACCAGAGAGTTTTTCCCATACTTAATTCTCCCACCCCCACTTTTCCAGATACCCCCAAACTGTGATAGAAAGGCAATTCTCTAACGACAGAACCAACAAAAACTTACCCCCGAAATGGTATTTGGTAGCCAAAGCCTTGGCTCCAGATGGAAGCTCTCCCAAAACTCCCTTCTTAAACACAGACGACACTGTGACCTGCACAACGTCCCCAAGCTTGACATCCGAATAGCAGGACAACTCCTCTGAGGAAAAAATCTATCATGTGAGTAAAATGCCCTTTGAAACATTATAAGCTGATCTGTCAGAAAGAATCTTCAAATGTAAAGTCTGTTTCGATACGATCTTACCAAATGCATTGATTGAGAGCCTTGAAAGTACCTCAATGAATTCAAGTTGAAGAACATTTTTTAACTTGTAGAAAACACACATTTAAAATCTGTAGAATATTATGCTTTCACAGGAAGCAGTACCTTTTTTTTTTTTGGAGAATAAGTGTTTTTATGGCGCTTGCAACTACATAAGGTCATATGAGCTCCTGGGACAAACTAAACATTTTCAGTTGGTAGGAAATTTGAAATTTTGTGCGGGTGGGGGCCGAAGCATACTCAATTTTGGACCACCAACTAGCACACAAGACCTCCGAGATTTTTCGCCCTTGTCCGAGAAGGCTAGGTGTAGATCTTTCCTACCAGAAGATCAGGGGTGCAGCTGAAAGACAGCAGTAAGAAGGAGCCAAGGGGTAGTAGTAAAAAGGCCGCAGAAAGAGTCAGGAGCCTAGAGGAGGGGGCAAAGAGGGTGGGGGCAGAAAGAGGAGACAAAGGCAGACTACAGACCATTGTTAGAGAGCAGGAAAGGATGTGAAAGAAGAAAATTTTCCGTCGCTATCCGGATTTGAACCCGGAACCTATTGAATGAGAGGCAAACACCTTAACCTCTAGGCCACAAGACCCCCCCCCCCACCTCCTAACTATCCTTGTCTGATGTGGACACATGCAAGTCAAAAGCATGCAGGAGACATGCAATTATAGTAAAATACTGCTATTGTTTATATGTCTTACGTCCCCAACTCACCATGTTCAGCAAACAGTAAATCTAAGGTGTCTTCCCTGGACTTGAGGTAATTCTTTAACAATGTCAGGGGCTGCTCCAAGCCGCCTTCATAACATTCATCTACTCGTAAGCTGCCCAGAAACCTTTCCTTCTCACTGTCAATCTTTGCCAGCCGAGTAATGACCGACTGACCCCGCTTGAATAGCTCCTGAAGATTTGCTGGCTGAAGATTGGTCAGAGTCTGGAAAGACAACAGAATTTTTTTTAAAACATAGTACTACATATGTCCTCCATTCTACAGATTCACACTTTGTTTCATTTTAAAGACCAGATCGATAAATCAATATCTGAAAATACAGTAAATGCCCCATGTAAACATTCGTTTACATAAAAAACCCTCATAAACACATGAATTTCTACGTGCATCTTCATTAGACTTTTATGACAGACAAGATGCCATACCTTCATTGGAACAGATGCTTTACTCGGTATACTCCATTCAAACAAACGTACGTCGTTACTCCACAATCAATTAAGAGGTAAATGCAGTAAAGATAAGTACCTATGGGTGAGGCCACATAAGAAGCGAGAAAGCGAGGCTGAGCTGGAATGAGAAGAAATATAAACAGCTGTCCCTGCGCGAGTCTCACTAGCTTTGAGTTTTGAGCAAGACTATACCTCGCTATGTAGCTATAATGTGATTTATTACCCCCTGATAAGTGTGTCTTGTGCCGCTTCCAGGGCCCACTTCCTGGGTACTCCAGGCGCTCATAACAAGATAGTATAAGAACGTATAGTGTTTACTGTTCAATCAAACATCTCATTTTTACCATCTAACTATATTCTTCAACCAGCTTTAAGTTCAAGATCTGAAATTCCAATTCAACTGATATCACAATTTAAACCTATTATACAAATTTAATCAAACTGACACTTCAGGTATAGAAGTTGACAAAACAGCTGAGTTTATTTCTTAGTGAAAGAGAAATCTCTTCTTTTGAAAAAAATATTATCAAGACTTTTTAAACAGAGATCCCAAACGCCAGTCAACACACCAGTTTTCACCTCAGTTGTTTCCCGCTAGCTTGCTGCTTATTTCCTGCTTGAGAAAAGCAGCTTTTAGTATGGTCACCCCCACTTAATATCTCATTGCTAGCTTCATGCTAGCTACAGCTATAGCTTGTAATGTGGCCTCACCCTAACAGTAGAACAACGCCCATTATCTTCACTTTTGAATTTCACATTCATGATTCTTGCGCTATTCAAGAAGTGGAAAATGAAGGTGTGCAGCTCAGAAAGAGCCTATACAAAAAGCTAAAATTTGACCAGTCAAAGACATTCTCCAGAAAGAGTTTTTCAAATAAGACATCATGAGGTGACTAACAACAGTTTCAGTTTGTTTCATTACTCCCTTTGTACTTTTTAATTGAAACATCACTAGAAGCTTTGTTATGGTTCTGATCTCCGTGACCTGGATAGTATTCTCCAAACTAAAAAAAAAAAAAAGAGTAATATATTTGAGAAATGATTCTGATGACAAGATGAACGGGGAAGATGAAGACAAAGCTGAAGAAAAAGAACAATCACATCATGGAAAAATATTGTTCTGTGTGTGTCTGTAGCTTGCTCACTTTCCTCTGTACGTGGTTAAAACAAGACAAAAACTTATCGTTCTATTAAATTTTTGCATGTCATTGAATGAGAGCCTAAAAGTTGAATGACTAACAGAATCTAAAAGCCCATTAATGAAGGTAAACTAAGGTTCTGACATGTTGTCTTTGATAAAGCGGGCCAAAAAATAAAAGGGGATTTACAGCATACACCGAAAATACACTGAAACGTAGGGGCAAGGTTGTGTTGCCGTCTCAAAATGAGCAAATTGCAGGCTAGTTTACTTTATAAATCATTAATTGTAGTGACCCTGTGTATGCTCCCAAATGGCGGTGTATAATATGGGACACAAATTAAGAAACATTTTTATTACTGGATCAAGATTTAAAAAAAAAATTGTTTGGACGCTAGCCTACAGGAGAGCCATGCAAAATTACATGTGCAGTGGCAAATTAATAAATGAGTTATAACTTTTTTAATGTCCACAGATGAAAGTGAACAAGCTATAGTCCAGCAATATTGTCATTATCCATGCACGAGACTCAAGCTGATACCACTCACCTTGGCGGGGCACAACCCTGTGTGACCTGCAGCCAACTCCAGAAATATGCCATAGTCTTCATGATTCTGGATCACAGCAGGAAGAAGTTGGCCACTCTGAAAACAATCATAAAAATCATCATCCTGAATTTTGTACATCACATTCACTATCAATGAGAGTAGAAGAAAAGATGTTGAAAAAGAGGAAAACAAAAAGAGTATTTCACAAAAATAATGTTTTTAAGAGCATCCAAGCAAAGGAAGGAATGGAGAACCATGATCACAGATGTCTGTCGCAGATCTGGCACTGGATGATGGTGATGAATGTTAAACCAATGGCATTGGTCTATTGTGCAGATAAGGTTACATGTTTGTTAGAAATGTCAAGTCATGTGGACAAAAATATGTTGTCGAAAGCTTTTTGAGGATCTCCTCCAAACATAAAATGTAATTTTCTGTGAATCATATAGGAGAAAGAAAACCTTCAGTAAAGTTTGGTTTAACTTTCATTGCAGTGTACATTTAAAAATTAACTCAATGGCTGCACTGGGCACAGTAAAAAAAAAAAAAATCATTTTAATAAAAATGCTTGTACACAAAGCCTACTGTCATATTAACTTGGCATTGATAGAAAAATAAAAAACTAACAAACCAGCTGTACCACAGGAAAAAGTTACACCATGTTTTCATTAGCAAACGTAAATAAACAATCTCTTTAATGAAAGAACAAACAGACGAAAAACATAAATTTTCCACTCCGTTTATTCCCAAGCCTCCACTCACTTTGAGGTCTGCAAAGTTCTCCAACAACTGCTTCTGCTGTGCTGCCTGAAGAAAACATTCTTTCATGGTCATTATCTGAGAAAAGTGAAGGAAAAGTCAACGCAATGCCAGAAACCTTTGATCTTAACTTGCTGAGCACATCTGTTCTTCAAAATGTTTTACACGGATTTAGGCTGCTGCAGATCACAATAAAAAAACCAAATGAAATAATTTAATCTCAGCGGTTAGGAAAGAATTGTATCAGCACAGAGTCGGGAAAGACAGCGGACATACGAGATCAGTGTAGGCTGTAATTATAGATTGGGTTGTCTTTTTTTCCTATCTCAAAATCACAACGCTGTGTGAAGAACAATGAAGAAGAAAAGCGAAATATTCAAAGATTTCCGGGGTAGAGAAGAAACTTGCATTCATATTTTGGTGAACATAAGATACCATTTTTCTCCTTTTAAAATATGTTGTGTTAAATTGTAGTGTTATGCAGCCCTTATAAGGTGTAAAATAATTTAAAATGTGACTATGCTGTTTTCTATCTGAGGTCTTTACACAGTCTACTAGATTTCCAATAATAAATGAAACCACTGAGCCACACAAGGATACAGGTTGCTTTCTGCGGTAGTAGTAGGTAACTCTCTCCAGCTGCAGTCTCGGCTTCATGGCCTGCTTCCTCAGCTCCTGAATCTCCCGATAGTCAGACAGATGAGAGTAAGGCAGAAACGCCATTTCCTTCCCTGAGTGAAGAGACAGTCGATACCCATTTTCCTCCTGACTCACAATTCTAGCACTGACAATCTGAAATTGAAAGTTTTGAAAGAATAAGAATTTCATGTGCCTCTTTTTTTGTGCCCCCCCCCCCCCCAACAAAAAAATGTCTAATTAAAAAGAGAGAATTTAAGGTAAAGTACAGAAATCTGAAATGAAATTGCAATTGTACTAAATGAATGGTAAGACATAAAGTAGTTCAGTTTAAAAAAAATAAAAATTTAAGTCTAAATCATTTTTCTACCGCAGGGCTGGTAAAGTCAGATTAGATCCTGAAGGCTAAACTTTCTCAGAAATTTGACTCCAGAGAAAAAAGCGTACACTTTCATTCAATTCAAACAACCACAACACAATAATAATTGTTGCACACGACATGAAAATAAGCAATGAGAAGGTAAAAGATTCAGCAAGCACATGGGAACAGACAATTGTTTTAGTTCAGAAATATAATTACCTTTCCGAGTTCATAATGGTCCTGACTACTGACATCACTGTCTGCTTTCCCTTTTGAAGTACCAAACTACAGAGATAAAAAAAACAAAAAAATAAAATAAAGTGAAATACTGGTTGAAACAATAAGTGATGATTAGGTGTGATAACTAAGAGTTCCTAGTCGTATAGTGAACTGTTTAAACTGGACTTAATGAAAGCACCCCAAGCTTTTCACATAAGTAGAAAAGAAATAAGTTTGGTCTGGAATCTGAACGTAAGGGTCACGATTGCCACAAGCTAATTACAGTAAATGACTGTTCCAGACTCTGTAGGTCTTGGGAAAGAACCGCTCCGTTATCACTTACAGTAAAACTATATTGACAGGTTAGTAATATAGAGGGACAACACACACAGCTGTAAAATAAGCTCATACCAAATGTCCCCCCTTCCTACACATGGCATTGATGATGTAATTCTTAATAAAAACATTCTTATGCTTCAAATCCTCGATTGCCACGATTCCCAAATACAGTAATACAACTCTAAAATGCTAAGAAAAAAAAAAGCCACTTTTCGTAACTACACCAAACTGTCAGCATCATTCCACAGTTGGCCAAATCAATTTCTGAGTGTCCAAATAATGGGATTTAAAAAAAATCAAGGGGTATCTTTCAAAATACACGTAGTTTCATTACGTCCTGCCTGGTTATTATTGAAAAATCACAACTGATTGTGGACAAGTTATGATTCTCCTTTAGGTGGTCTCTTTTTATAAAAACTTTAAACTATGAGAAAACTTGCTTTGCAAGAGAAAAAATAAATGAAGCATCTCTTACGTTGAAAGAAAGTACAAGTTTCTTCTGTTCAGCATCACAGAACACCACCCTGCACCGAATGACTTGGCCCACGTAGAACAGGGTTGTTGGATCTTCCACTTGCTCAGTGCTCATGTATTTCCTACTGACAAAACCCTGAAAGTGAAAATTGACACTGGGTAATCACGCAGTTTCTCAAAATCTAAGAGAGAGCCGAGGAAGTCCTTCCACGATAGCTCTAAAGACTGGCCCAGTATTTGAAATAAAGATCCATAGTGAAAGAAACAATAAAAAGCAAAGATGATTTTTAAAAAGCTTATTTTCAGATAGCGAAGTCCAGCTTTTCAAAAAACTAAATTGTGAAATGCATAAAAATGCAAAAAAAAAAAAAAAAAATTACTTCAAAGTCTTTACAAATAGAAGAAAAATGTTAACTTTTGGTTTAACAAACAAAAGTAATGCATTTCCATGAAAAGGAAAACTTATTTTTCTTGTGAAGTCAAGCTTTTCAAAAAAACGTAAATTGTGAAATGCATAAAAATGCAACCAAAAAAAAAATTACTCCAAAGTCTTTACAAATAGAAGAAAAATGTTAACTTTTGGTTTAACAAACAAAAGTAATTTCTATGAAAAGGAAAACTCATTTTTCTTGCTCTTTCAATTGTAACTTAAAACCATACTGACCTTGACATCACCAAACAGGGACACAATGACCACTCGCTCTTTGACAGCAACGATCACTCCCTCCAGCTCCATATGGCGACGGAGCTCCGAGTAATCCGTGATGATTGGATGCTTTGCTTTGACAAGAGATTTTTTATGTGTAAGTATCACCTTGTTCTTCTGATGGTTTATTCTTAGCACCTGCAAACAAAGTAAATAGTCTAAGTTGTGACCTAAATGGGAAATGACAACTTACTAATTCGAACACATAGAAATCACAAGCAAAAATAATGAAAGCCAAGAGAAAAATATAAAACTTTGTACAAGCACAAGAGAAAGAGGGAGGGAGAGAGAGATAAAGAGAGGGAAAGGGGAAGAGACAGAGAAATAATTTATTATAGAAAAGACAGAGAAACAGGGAAAGAGAGATAGATAGAGACAGACAAGATTTTTAAAAAAACCAACATCCCCTCACCAAAAAAAAAAAAGAAAAAAAGTCACTCACACGACACTTGAGCTTCATGCCGGCATCAAACTTCTTCTCTGGCCGTTTGATGGGAACATCAGCTAAATGCATGCCAGGAATGAAGGAGTTGATGCCTCTCGACAATGTGACAGCCACTCCATTCAAATGCACCTCGGTCACAGTGGCCTGAAACAGGTCAGGAGTAAGTTTCACAATACAATTACTATTAGCACATCAGCTCTTTTATTGTTCTAATTATTGCCAAGGTCGATCTGAAAGTACCAATGCAGTCTTGCTCCATTCATCATTTTGTGAAATCATGGATTTCCTTACAAGTATCAACAATTAAAGTCACATACTTAAAAAAAAAAAACAACCTACGGTATACAGCGGTTACTGGGGTGTGTCCTTGAGCAGCAAACCATAACCATAGCTCAAAAAAACAGGGCAGTGCACCATGGTAATTTGCAATGTTGTGTGGATTGTCTATGTTTGTTCTATTGTATATAATTCATGCATCATAATTATATGCGGTACAATATAGACAAGATCAGTTTAGTGGAATTTATTATTTTCATTCAGTGGATACGTTCTAAAGATGTAGGTATGGCAAGATGTCCATGGGTGAAAGTACTGACAGGTTCAAAAACCTGAAATCCAAATTATTAAAATGTTTAGTTTTAGTAAAAGTTTTACGGCACTTGCAACACAATAAGGTCATATAAGTGCCGAAGATTAGAGGTGTTACAAGAGAGTAACAAACATAAAACAGAAGGAGGGGAGATAAAGACGATAGATGTTTGATAGGAAAGAAGAAGCAAACCACACCAGAGCACCCGCCAACCACCCACATTAAAATGCCTACACCTGAAAATTACACACGTTGAGAAACGTTGTCAGATAAACACACACAATATTATGAAATAAACACATTTCTTCAAGATACACGTACATGTACTGTCATCAATGCATTGCTTTGACAACAATCCATCAAATCAGGTTCTGTGTCTGCAAAACAGCAATGTGCTATTCCTGGATGTTAAATTTTTTCAATGGTATTAACTAACACTACAAAGTGTCTAATCACAATCCCCACTGAGACACACAATTTTTTTTTAAAGATGTCGTGTCACTGTCACAGTCCATATTTGTACTTTTTTAACTACAACTGTAGCTTCTTGCTAAATAAGAGTTCAGCAATGGTGCATGGCACTTGTGCACACACTGTTTGAGGCTGTAGGTTGAGCTGTTGCAGTTGATGGTGAAATTGGCTGGACATAGAAATCTTTTCGTTATGTGCGAATTCTGCAACGGCCAAATTTTAGGCTGCACCAAGGAAGATAACTGAGTTGTACAATCAGGTCAAAATTTACACGAATTTCATGAAGTCGAAAATTTGTCCCAAACCGGAAAAGTTGGAAAGCTGATTTTCAAAAACTGGAATTCCGGCATATGCCGGAAAACTTTCACCCATGAAGACGTCATCAATTAATCGAGATTATAGTGGCAGTCGAAAGCAATACATGATTGTAAAAGCCCTAAGCTCTAGGTTACTGTGCTAAAAGCATGCGGGCAGTTCGTACTTATATAATGGAGACCGTGTTCAAGACAGTGTTCAAGGTTTACTAAGAGTATTCTTTTTGAAAGTCTTTCTCAGTTCTTGTATTGTCTTATTTTTGGTGGGGTTTTTTTTTGCCCGAGAGTGGTTTTGTGTCAATAAAGTTATTTTCCAGCAGTGCCACTAGTGTTTTGACAATTTTTTTCAGCACAAAAAAAAAATCCATCTAGTTTAAATGATGAGAGAAGACACAAATTTTAATATGATGTACAGTGCAGGCTGACTCTATCAACTACCGAAACGGTCAGCATTTTACAGATTTAGCCTTGTCTATTGCATTTATCATTTATCTAACATCTTAGGCTTACCTCCACAACATCACCAATATTTACGTCATGGATTGTCAGAAACTTCTGAGAGAGGATGCTCCTGGGAAGTAAAACAAAAAAGCCAAATAAAATCAAACAAAACAACCAAAAAAACAAAACAAACTGCGAACACTCGAAATGGCTAAAAATTAGACAGCAATACTTCATTTTCAGTACTAAGCAAAAAAACTAACAGCTACTGACATAAAAGAAAACAGCACACTTAGCTGCGAAAATTGGCATCAAATACATGTTAAAATAGCAGACACTGATAAAGTGAGGGTCAGCAAAACGCATCTAAGAAAGGAAGTCGATGCCTGCATAGCTGCATACTTATCATGAAAATAAATCTTAAAATACCAGGTTGATGATGATTACGTAAGGTCGTGGGTTTGAATCCCGTCAAGGGCCCGACGTTGTGTCCTTGGGAAAGGCACTTTACACGAATTTTCCCCACTTCACCCAGGTGGGAATGGGAACCCAGCTATAGACAGCGAAAGATCTTGTCAGTTTGTTAGTGTTTGAGCGCTTAATCGGTTGCTTGCACTGTATGCTTCCCGGGAAGCTGAGAATGTTTCGGAGTGTTCTATGGTCTGCTGGGGTAATAATATAGTGTAAAGTGCATAGAGCCTGCTGTTGAGCGGGGATATGCGCTATACAAATGCTATCTATTATTATTATTATTATTATCTATCTTCATTGTCCAAGAAAACTAAAAGCCTTTATGTAAAATGGGAGGAGAATAAAATTGTAGAAAGGGGAAAATAAAGACAAAAAACTTTATTCACTCACTGTTTGAGAGTCACCAAGGCAACACCTTCTATAAAGTTGAAGCCCAGGATTCGACACTGGTGACTCGCACCAACAGCATAGGCTGTGATATCTGGCTCGTTGGTCTTGTCTGTTAATTTGCTCAGCTGGAGAAACACGCCAGAGAATGAGATACATTTTAAAACCATGCATAAGGTAGAGGACATGCCAATTTTTTCTGGGGATTCAATGGAACTCAAATTGCTTTTCTAAGACACAAAGCAATTACAAAAGACCATGCAATCAAAAGAAATGAGTGGGAAAAAAAAAGTATGCCACTTCACTTAATTTTCTACAAGACCAAAAATTAACCACTCCAGATGCAACCATTGCTTTTAGCCAAAGCCACACAGGCTTTTCACACCGTTGTGAAATTACCTCTCAATTTCAAACGAAAAATCAAGTTAACTTTGCCTTAGAAGCCCATATAAAGTGTTGTTTCTTGTTATCACGATTGCCATGAAAAGTGATATAAAAAACTGTAACAAAACTTTAATGTTGACGAATTAGATAAAACATTCAATAACTATTATGAGAATTGCCCACACAGATGGGAACTGTTACCTTCAACGAGACACTGACAAAAACATTATTGAAAAATGGGGAGGCGGGCGAAATGAAACAACAAATTGACAAAGGAATCTTTACACTTCAGTTGCTCGAGTTATAATGCAGAAAGAGAGGACATACCATAATACTATTCATGAACTATCAACCAGCACAACAAAACATATCAGTTAACTTACAGCTGCAAATGCTCTCACTCCCTTAGGCAGGCTGAAGTATACCCCCTTCTTTTTGTCCAGCCGCAACACTTTTGCTTCAAGAATGTTCCCGACCCTCAGGTCTTGAAACAAGCCAATCGCACCTCCGTCTGAGTTTACAAGTTCTGGCAGAGCTGTCAGCTGTAAGACTTTTGTAACCGGGTGGACATACAGAACCCTGGCATCAACCTGGATAAAAGCAGGGACGTCATTGTTTTACTAACCATATTCCTGATACACTGTCACTCACATTATTATATAACCACAAGCCGTTTCAAATTTCCAGTGAAAAATGAGCACAAATATTTCATAGTTTTAAATCATTAAACAATATTTCCTATGTCTTTAGTGAAAAATGAGCACAAATATTTTATAATTCTAAATCATTAAACCATGTTCCCGTGTTTCAAGAGAGAAATGAGGAAAAACATTTTATAGTTTTAAATCATTAGACCATATTCCAGCATCACTGTCATTCATATTTTTCCAATGATTATCACTGTCATTTCTTTAACCACAAGCCTTTTCTGAATTTTCATGTCTCTGGTGAAAAAGTGAGGACAAAAAGTTAATAATTTTAAACCACAACAGATGTAGAAAAGCCTCACCTCGGCCTTGACCTTGTATGTCAGCGGTGACTTGGGCACCTGAGAGCCGTGAATTACAGCCTCAAAATTGTAAACTTTCCCAATCAGCCCAGTGTCTGTTTTCTATATATAGGGAAACAAGTTAAATGATGTGTACCTTTAACAATATGACATAAAGAAAATATTTTCATTAAAAAAAATAAACTGACTGCTAAGAAACCATTAACATATAAGCACACTTCAACAGAAAATATAAGTATTGTTATTGTTTATGGCAAGTCTAAGGTTCCAAGTAGCATGTTGAAGAAAATAAACCCAGCAATTCAAATAATTCTATTGTTTGCTACTTGAATGATCCATTCATGGTAATAAATTTTCAAAAATCATTCATGATTTTTTAGAAACATGAGATGTCATTTTTGCATGCATTGAACAAAATACAAGGTCAAATTTGCAGGTACTGGGATTACTACAACAGTGAAATACTGTCACATTGTCAGCAAAACATAAACTTTGACACAAACGAAAAAACGAAAATAAAAATTCTGACGAGAAGGACTTGTTATAAATGCATTCACAGCTGATGAAGAGTGCTTTTTTAAAGTAGCAAATAGAATACTAAAAACTAAAATGGTGAACAGATGTAAAACTTAGAAAAGAAGGATAGTTCAGTGAACAATAACGAGTTAGACTGAATTCCAAACACAACACTTGGAATATATTGAGAGGGATGCTAGCACATACAGTGGGTGTCGCATTCAACGAGAAGTCGGCTCCAACGAGGCAATCCTTAATCTCCGATTTTTTCTTCTCTATCTCTTTGTAAATGTATGTCAGCTCCAACGAGGTTGCAAACAGACCGAAGTTGCTTTCAACGAGGTCACGATTACCAAATAAAAGCAATTAGCGACCCCAAAAGCAAAGAGTTTTTCTCCTTTCTCCCCATCTCACGCGAAGCACAAGGCCCATCCTCGATTCCTAACACATTATATTGCTAGATCTAGTGTGCCTCCTAATATGGGCCCCAAAGCCAAGAGGATGGGCGAGGGTTAGCCTACGGTAGGGATGGGATGGGTGGGAACGTGAGGCGGGCAGTGTGAAACTGGATGAACTCTGGATGGGTAGGTCTAGATCGAGACCTTCATTTTTTTCAAATTTCTTTTCTTCCCCTGATCAGAAAATCCAAGCTCTCGCCTTTACTTTATGTAGATCTAGGCCTAGACGTGAGAGGATATGTTTCCACATGAGAAGTGTTCCGGAAAATTTTTTTTAAAATGCAGAAATGACGGTGAGAACACAGCTCAAACTAAACACGAGCGCACTGATGGTGCATGAGATTTTCGTCATCAGTGGGAATATCTGTTTTAATAACTGGTATAGGTACATTGTGTAATAAAATAACTTGTCTCCTGTCATTTCTTTAGCCTCAGTCAGGTTCAACGAGAGGTCGGATCCAACGAGGACCACAAGCCGGTCCCGGCAACCTCGTTGAATGCAACACTCACTGTATATCATACCCCAAAAGAGAAACTAGTAACAAGTATCTTTCACTGTGAAACTCTATAATAAACGTTTTCATATTCTTGACATACCTTTTCTATGACAGCTTTCACCCTCATACCAGGAAGCACTGTGTTTAAACTTGTTGTCTCTTCGAGCTGAAAAAGAAGTAAGGGGCATTGTTAGAGAGTACACAAAAATGTGCCTTCTACTCTTGAAATAACACCAAAGACCAGCATTTGAGCAATTCATGGCTAAGACTTGCAACATTATATTTCCATTACACAAATTTTCCAACATGGTAGAAATATGCATATATTTAGTTAATGAAGGCACATATTATTGATTTGGAGCAACATATGACTATTTAGTTAATGAAGGCACATATTATTGATTTGGAACAACATATGACTATGTCCATTTTCACAAAAATGCCAAGAAGAGCAAAACTAGGAAATTCAAACAGTATTCCACTACTTCACTAGGCTTGTAAATATCAACCCATTAGGCCAATACTTTTGCTGCAACAGCAATTCCCATCGCGTTCATGCAACTAAACATTTCCACTTCACACCTTGCCATAAAAATAATTTTTTCTCAAAATGAGGAACTGGGACACAGTCACCTCGAGCTCTCAGCCAACAGTACCAGTCTGATGGCATTTCAGCTTACCGTTGCTTGTTTCACAAGTGTAGGCTCAACAGTAACATTCACAGCTCGAGTTTCTCCCTCCTTTATCCCGGACTTGCCTTTCATTTTCAAAACACACCACAGAGGCTGGCCAACACTTAGAGGCTCCCCTGGTGAACAAAAGGCATTCAATTGAGTATAAAGAGCACATCTGTCACTGGGAGAGTTAAGTATCAGAGGTCAACAGTATGTGAGTCATAAACATCAGTGCTGAGATAGTTTTCCCCAAACCACTGGACTTCCATACCATGGAACTTTTCTTTACCCCTTTTGACAATTTAAATTCAAAAGTCCAGATCCCATTGCTTTCTTTGTACTTATTTGCATGTCATACCACCCTAGTTGGAGACTCGTCCAAGAACAACAGAGTGGACAGCAGTACCTCAGAAAATTTGAAAAACCTCTATCCAGTCAAAAATTATTTTACTCATACTCAGAAAACACACCCCTATTACAAAGAAGATACTGTAATTTCTCCAAACCTTGACACTGAACAAATATGACATCATCTCACCACTGTTATAAGTCTGCACAAAAGCCTCTGCATCTTTGGAGGAAAGGAAAGCTTGAAGACTTTTAATGCCCAGATCCACTCTGTACCCATGGTCTTCTACACTAGACACACTGCCAAACAGAAGCTGAAAAAAAAATAGGGAACATCACTGAAACATTTAGCCAGACGGGAAAAAAAATAATCCAACAAATCCCAACAAGTCAGAAAAGAGACAAATTTTAAAAAAGATAACATGGCATGAGGTAGGAGCATGGGAGGGAAGCTGGAAATTCTGGGACAGGGTTTCCATCCTTTCATTGTAATACATTTTTTTAAATTCTGTGAATCATTAACCTCTTCAAAAGAACGGATGGTCTTAGTCCAAATTCATCTCTGACCATGCATCCCACTTCCATCACTATTTCGTCAGATCAGACCAGATGCTGCTCAAGCAAGTTTTCTGAGCAACTGCTAAAGCAAACTAATACCATCAACTTTTCCTTTTCTGTTCAAAGTGAATGTTAAAAATTTGATGTAAAATTAGCTATGAATTTATAACATTTATCAGTAAGAGGCGAAAACATGTGCGACATGCTGACAAAATGAGTTACTTCTTGCAATCCCCAAAAGGAGATATCGGCTGAAAATCGATACTGGGTTCAACTTGATAGATTATCGATTGATGCCATTTTCTTCAAGTTTAACATGTCTTTTATCATCGCATACTTATAAACTGTACAAACACCATCTATAAATTTGAAGTGTCTATTTCCATAGAAGTAACTCATTTTGCCAGCACACCTCACATATTACTTTACTTTCCTTTTCACAATAATAATATTCGAAAAGAGAAAGTTGGAAAAAGGGGAAAAACCCCTGTCAAAACAACCCTGGACAGCCGCAACATACCAAGCCATCTGTTAGACTCGATAACGGCAGGGACGAATTGAGGGAAGCCGGCACAGAGCTCAGCTTCACGAACGTCTTGTTTTTTTGCTTATCCTCTTCTACAGTGGTCACCTTAACAGGTACCAGCAAGCCAGGGCGGAACATTTCATCTACGGGTTTCAGGTCCTGGAAAAAGTCAGGTTAAAATTTAATTTTAAAATATATAACCAGAGAGCAACTGTTGGTTATGCATAACCATGCACATAAATGTCCCCTACGAGAAAAGAGAAACATTGACTTTATCTTGAATGTAGGATCTAATCTACAGATTTTAAATCTTGGAGTGTGTTTACAAGGGCAAACCATGCATAACAGAGCTTGAATGCAAAGCAGAACACATCTCAATTGAATAGAACATCATTTTACATTTGAAACAGGTGCATAAAAATTCAGTTTTATCAAATAACATTTAACTGAGGTCCATAATCAAAATCAGACTAAAGAGAAAGAGTCAAAAGGACATACGAGTATTGGGAAAAGGAAGAGAAACTACCTGGATCAGCGACGGCTTCTGAAAAGGACCAGATTGATGATTGAACCAATAGGACATGCTAACATTCAATAATAACAATAACCCCCCCCCCCAAACAAACAACAAAAAAACCACAACCAAAAAAAATGAAACCAAAGAGAAAAATATAAAACTTTGTACAAGCACAAGAGAAAGAGGGAGGGAGAGAGAGATAAAGAGAGGGAAAGTCGGCTTCATGGCCTGCTTCCTCAGCTCCTGAATCTCCCGATAGTCAGACAGATGAGAGTAAGGCAGAAACGCCATTTCCTTCCCTGAGTGAAGAGACAGTCGATACCCATTTTCCTCCTGACTCACAATTCTAGCACTGACAATCTGAAATTGAAAGTTTTGAAAGAATAAGAATTTCATGTGCCTCTTTTTTTGT